AAAAAAAAAAAAAAAAAGGACAAATATTTTAGGTCACTGTTTTATCTGTTTTATCCTGATCGTCTGATTTCGTAACCTGATTTGTAACCACAAAAATGTTTGATTTGGTGGATCCAGGGTTATGGTATTTTATTTAAAAATTGTTATTTTTATTAGGTTACCATAGAATGTATAAGAACTATAATTCCATTTGTCTCAAACACAATCACTTACAATGATCATATTTTAAAAAACCTACATCAAATGAAATCATAAGATTTTTTGAATTTTATCCTATTCAAGATTTGAATAAATCTGAAACACAACTATTCAATCACAAACGAATTTTTTATCGGCCAGATGGTAGTTTACGTTATTGGCTTACATACTGCGAAAACACACAATATTTTTTTTGCTCAGTATGTTTGGCTTTTGAAAAGTACTGATGAAAGTAAGTTTATTACCGGAATGAATGATTTCAAATATCTATATTGTCGAATTAATGAGCACGAAAATAGTAAAAACCACTTTTATTGTGCTGATACATACGTGATGCAAAAAAAAGAAACGAGTATTAATGTTTTACTGGGTAAAAATCAATTATCTAAAAGAGTACAAGAAGTTGAACACCGTAGAATGATCTTTAAACGAATTACAGATGTTATCAAGTTAATCGGGAATGTCAATGTTAGTCATGGCCAATGTCAATGTTAGTCATAGAAATTTTCTAGATATATTATTACTGTTGGCTAAATATGATGCACCACTGAATGAACATATCAAGTCAGTAATAAAAAATTAGCAAACAACTACCAAACTCGTGGAAAAAGTCAATATATAACTCTCCTCTCAAAAACAACAGCTAATTATGTCATTAAGTCAGTTTCTATAAAAACAAATTAGTGAAGATATCATAAAATCTGATATGTATTCAATTCAAATTGATACTACCTAAGATGTTTCAGTCACTGACATTTGTTCAGTAATAGTAAGATATGTTTCTTCAGAATATAAAACTGGGGGTAGAGTTTACTATACATGAAAGAGTATTATTCTTTTTTAAATCCAAAAAAAACTTCTGGTCAAGCATTATGTGATTTTGTGTCAAATAATTTATCTGAAAATATGATAGATGCAAAAAAATGTGTTGGTTCTTCCACAGATGGGTCATCAAACATGATTGGAAAATATAATGGTTTTTCTAAATGGTTAGAAAAAGAGTGTCCAAGTCAACTTCATGTGTAGTGTTATGCACATTGTCTTAATTTGGTTATCTTGGAAACTACGGCGGTTTTAACTCCAACTGTATCTTTGTTTGGTCTATTAAATAGTTGTGCTGTATTTTTTAGAGATTCACACAAACGAATGGACTTATAGCGTGATATAACAACAGATTGTTGAATATTAAACTTAATTGGACAAACAAGATGGTGGGCTAAAGAGCATGCATTAAAAAAGATGTTTGGTTTGTTTAAAGAACCGTCTAACTCGTTGTATGTAACTATAATAAAAATTTTGTCAATTATTTCTTTTAACAGTGAAGATTTCATTAATAATTGTTGATGTACTGCAACAATGTTATTACAGTCTCTTATAAAGTTTGAAACAATTCTTACTGCACAGTTATATCTGAAAATATTTCAGCAAACAGCACCATTATCTAAGTACTTGCAGACGAACGGCTTGTATATTTTGCAAGCTCAACAGATGGTAAATTCAACGTTAGAATGTCTAAGAAGTGAAGCTAGAAATTTTGAAGATGTTTTAATAGCTGCTAAAATTTTTGTTTCTTGGGCCAGTGATTTGATTGAAATTGAAAATGATATTGATGTTTTTATTCAATATTCACTTCCAAATGCACGTGTACGTGTAAGGAAAAATGCACATGTACGTGTAAGGATGGTGAAAATAATGCAAATTATGCAGCAATTGATTTATACAAATTTAATGTTCATAACACAGCTATGGATAAAGTTATTTCTAAACTTGAGCAACATTTTGCAAAACATTTAGAAATATGCTTAGATTTTAAGAGATGAATTTGAAAATTTTATCAAAAAATGGGATAAACTTAAATAAAATAAAATTTACCTGAAGTTTATGCAAGTTTTAACCCAAATGAAGACACTGAGCTACCAAAGTTACATTTGGAAGAAAATAAAATTAAGCAAAAAAACTGCAAAACAAATACTCGCTGTTTTAATTGATTTCTTTGTTGTTTCAATGTTTTGTTTCAGTACAGATTATTTGTTAAGTCGTACAGCTATTTATTTTTGGCCTATAAATATATCTTGACTTTGTCTTGCTCCCAAGTAGGCTGTGGAAAAAGTTTTTCTACCTTAAATTATATAAAAAATTGTCTACGGAATTGTTTATCACTTGACAATTTGGATGCTTGGATCTTAATGAATTTAAATAAAGACATTTTAGAAAAATGAACACACGACAACATAATTGATGAAGTTGTAAATCATAGTTCTTTACTAAAAAAAGTTTTAATGATTTTGATTATTATGCTTCATTAGTTATTAAACAAAATGGTTTCTTCATTTGTATTACTTTATTAATGTTTTACAGAGTTTTCACTCTTCATTAAAAACCTTATATTATTCAAACCCCCGTTTAAGCTCAATAAAAAACCTCAAGAAGATTGAGAATGATTCTCTTTTTGAGTAATGAGTTTCTCCTAAATTTTTTATAAATGTTTTGCTTTTTTTAATTAAATCTCCTTAAAATGTAGGCAAGTTTAACAAAACCTAAAAACTTGTGAAAAGTTGTTTATTAGAACTTGATTCATTTTTAGAAGAAACTTTGAGTTGTTTCGTTGTTTCATTTGGGTGCGAGATCGTCTGTCAATACACCCCCCCCCCCTCGTTTTTTGGATTATAGAAAAAACTGTCATCCATCCTTTTTATCATAATTAATAAAAGACATTTAAAAAACAAGAAATGTAAATAAGATGTTACAATTTGATGAGACCGGTCACTAATGGTTTTTCCGGTCCATGTTTTAGAGCTAGTCCAACCCTGTCTAAGTTTATTTTTGACTATAAAAAATGAGTAAAGTCGCGACATAAAAAATGCAGTGGTTTTTACCAACTCTGTTCCATTAATTTTTTTTAGCATATGTAACTATATTAAGCTAAAATAAAAAAATAAACACTTCTAAATAAGAATAGTCCAGTTATTAATGTTGAATGCCGTTAGTTACTATTGTTCGATATTAGTAACGGTTCTGTATTCTGTAAAATACTCTAACGCAATCTACTTTTGAAATTACACGAGGTAAGCTCTTAAATTTGATAAGGAGATTAAGCTTTATTAACTTTTTAAACGTTTGTATTAGATTTGTTGTGTGTTGGTGCCCTAACGATTTTTTATTTTTGTTTACTATATGTTTTATTTATTGACTTTGGTTTCACGCAAACTTTTATAGCTTTTCAATAAATATTTTATTTAATATAACTTACTGGATATAAATGAATTTTGTTCATAAATATAAATTTGATATTGTACGTTTGTTTATTTATCTCTTAATATTTGCAGCAAACATTTGCTTACATTTTTATTTTTTTTATTTTGTTTAGTTATTTAGATGCTTAAAATACTAGCAGTAAGCATTTCCTACCATTTCTATTTGTACTTTGTTTATTTATTTAGACTTAAATTAAAAGAGAATTTATGTTTCCAGAGTTGTGATTAATCATAATTCAGTTGTTGAACAGATAAAAATTGTAGAGGTTTATATCATATATATATATAAAATTTGAAACTGCATTTGATTTTGTTTTCACATTTATTCCCTTTTTTTGCTATTATAAATAGTTCAGTAAAAATTTATTAATTAAAAACAAAATAAGTTTTAAGTTCGTTTTCATGCTTTAAATAAAATTAAAAAATGGCATTATGCCAATAATATTTACTTTTTTATTTGATTATATATATATAAATATATATATATATATATATATATATATATATATATATATATATATATATATATATATATATATATATATATATATATATATATATATATATATATATATATATATATATATATGTATATATATATATATATATATATATATATATATATATATATATATATATATATATATATATATAATATATATGTAGCGAGAGAGAGAGAGAACTTAATCCTGAGTATTTTATACTAGATTTTTTAATTATTTTATCTGTTTATCAATATGCTTTTTATTTTATATTTGATCTCTTTATAGATATATTGTTGTACCTACTACAAGGGGAAATGTTTATAATTGTTTTGATAATTTTTCTTTTAATTTTAAGCAAGATATATATTTGTAGTTTATTTTAAATTTTAGATTACATAAATTAATTTACTTTATTATGCAATTTAGAGTAGTACAAAAAGAGATAAGAGTTTGGATGAATTTTAATAATATGTTTAATGAAAACTATGATGCTGAAAAGATGGTTAGACAAGATGAAGTTTTACATTTACAAAATGATGTAAATGCTCTAAGGCGTGCTGAAAATAATCATCAACGAAATGAAAGAAACAGACTTAGGCGAGATGAAGTTAATCGTCAGCAAAATGTAAGAAGAGCTGTTATACGAGCTGAAGAGAATTTAAACCCAAATCTGGAAAGGTTGGTTAGACGAGTTGAAAATAATCATCGTCGAAATGAAAGAAATAGGCTTAATCGTGATGTGGTCAATTATCTCCAAAATGAAAGAAATAAGTTTAATCGTGATATAGTTAATCGCCGTCAAAATGAAAGAAATGCTGCTAGACCTGGAAGAATGTATTCTATAGCAAGAAGTAACGCTATTCCAGATTGTAATTATTTAGGAGAAATGAATCAAATTTGTCAGCACTGTGGTGCTAAGAAATTTTTAGATGAAACACATTTTCTATGTTGCCATAATGGTAAGGTAGCTTTGCCTCCACTTTCACCGTTTACACAAGCTTTATAGGATTTATTTACAGGGAGTTATGTAGATCGTAATGTTAATGACAATTTTTAAAAACATATTCGAAATTATAATGCCTGTCTTTCTTTCGCTTCTTTTAAAGCAGATGTAGTTCAACCAATGAATCATGGGCCTCCATGTTTTAAAATATGTGGCCAGATTTATCATCGTGTAGGTAATCTTAGGCCAGATCAAGATATTCCACCAAAATTCTCTCAACTATATATTTATGATCCACTTGCAGCAGTAAATTTTAGAATGCAACAACGTGGGAATGATTTTTGTTTACGTGATTTAATGTTTCAATTGCAAACTATAATTACTGAACAAAGTCCATTTGCTCTTGCATTTAAAAACATGGCTGAAGTAGAAGATGAAGAAATTCGTCAAGCGGCTCTAGAAGGTCGCTCAGCTTCTGTTGTAAAAATGTTTTTACTTGAAGGGGGTGATAGACGTCGCTATAATCTACCTTCACATGATGAAGCTACTGTGGTGTTTGTTGGTGAAGATGGTGCTCCCCCAACCTTGAGGGAAGTTATTATTTACCCAAGAGGTCGTCCTTTAAAAATTGTATCAAGTATGTCAGCCAACTTGGATCCTATGGTTTATCCTCTATTTTTCCCAAGAGGTGATGCTGGTTGGCATAATCAGTTGGTACATAACCCTGAGCGTGCCACACTGGTTAGAAATCTTGTTACATTATCTCAGTTCTACAATTATAGACTTTCTGTTAGGCAATTTTTCTGTTCATTATTTTATGGCAAGAAATTGTTTCAGCAATATGCTGTTGATGCATTTGTCAAAATTGAAGGCCAGCGTCTTGCTTTTATTAGAAATAACCAAAACAAACTTAGAAGAAAGCAGTATGATGCCTTACATGAACATGTTAACAACATTGCGAACGATCGTAATATTCGACCAGGGCGAGTAGTAGTTTTGCCATCATCTTATGTAGGGAGTCCTAGAGCTTTAAAAGAAAACTTTGAAGATGCTATGGCAATTATTAAAAAGTATGGTAAACCAGATCTTTTTATTACTTTTACTTGCAACCCAAAATGGCGTGAAATAACAGAAAATTTATATCCGGGTCAGACTGCGAATGATAGACCTGATTTTGTCACTCGAGTATTTAAACTCAAGTTAAATAACCTCCTCAATGATATATTCAAACATGGTGTATTGGGCAAAGTTGTAACGCATGTTCAGGTTATTGAGTTTCAAAAGCGTGGTTTGCCGCATGCCCACATTTTACATCATTTAGCCAATGATGATAAACTTGAAACAGCACAGGATATCAATAATTTAATATGTGCAGAAATTCCAGATCCGATTGTTAATCGTGAACTTTATGATATTATTAAAACTTGCATGATTCACAGCCCATGTGGGATACTGAATCCTAATTCTCCCTGCATGAAAGATGGGGTTTGCAGCAAAAATTATCCTAAAGAATTTAGTGCCAACACAGTAGCCGTTCACAATGGTTATCCACGATATAGGCGTCGTGATGATGGGTTGGTTATCAATATTAAAGGCAACAATGTAGATAACTGTTGGGTGGTACCTTACAATCCTTGGTTATCTAAGAAATATCAAGCCCACATTAATGTTGAAGCTTGCATGTCCGTTAAGGCTGTTAAATATTTGTACAAATATATATACAAAGGGCATGATTGTGCCAATGTTTTGATAAATGAACAGATTAATCACGATGAAGTAAACACTTTTTTAGATTGTCGTTATGTTAGTGCGCCTGAAGCACTTTGGCGAATATTTGAGTATCCCATAAGTCATATGTCACACACTATTATCCGTCTTAAGGTTCATCTACCTGAGAATCAGATTGTGTATTTTAGAGAAAGAGAAGAACAAGTGGCGTTAGATCGTGCTGCTCATCGTGGTACACACCTTACGGCCTGGTTTAAATTGAATTCTGAAAATGAAGGAGCTCATCGCTACTCATATGTTGACATTCTATATCACTTTGTATTTGATGATAAACATTGTAAATGGAAGGTTAGACAAAGAGGTGGAAATAAGGTGATAGTAAGAATGTATAAAGTTAGTCCAACAGGAGAATTGTTTTTTCTTAGATTGTTACTTTTACAAGCAAAAGGAGCAACATCTTGGGAGGGTTTGCATACTGTTAATGGAATAGTTCTTGAAACCTTTTGTGAAGCATGTGTTTTAAAAGGTTTGCTGCAAGATGACACTGAATGGCAGAATACTCTTTCTGAGGCAGTTTTAACGCAAATGCCTAAGCAAATTAGACAGCTGTTTTCAATTATTTTAACCTTTTGTGAACCTGACGACCCTTTGCATCTTTGGAATACACACAAAGCTTTTATGAAAGAGGATTTCATTCATCGCCAAGTTCCATTTATATTAGCTGAACAAGCTACTCTTCGTCAAATCGAAACGATTATTAATCAAAGTGGTAAAACGCTATCTGATTATAATTTGCCTGTTGTTGATGAATTCATAGATTTCAATCTAGAAAATTTAAATGATAATGTTCAGCAATCAATTGACGAAGCTAATAGAATGAGACCGCTTCTCAATGTCAATCAATTAATTGTAAGTAATGCTGTCCTTGCAGCATTGTATTTGTGTTATCTTTACACTTACATATATTGCTGTTATAAAATTGTTATTTCGTTATTTATTTTCATTTCAGATTTGTCATACCAGGCTTTTTAGTATACCGGAGAGAACACAATGGACCCACATCCCATAGAGCTCATGGGGTGTGGGTCCGAAACGGCGGCCGCAACTACCCCTATCCCTTCTTCCATTGGGGGGGGAGGTAGTGGTGGTCGTCGTAGAAGAAGGGGGGAGGGAGGGGTGGGATTACATACATCTACAATTAATATTTTGTAGGTTACAATTCTACAAAATGCTAATTGTAGATGTATTTTTAGATATTTTATATTTGTAAATTGTATCATTTTTGTATCATATCTTATATATTATGTTATTATATTTTTCTTTGTAAATTTTGTTTGTATAATTTTTTTGTAAATTATTTTTGTTTGTAAATAAAAACCTATCCTTTTATGTTTTGCGTTTCCTCCCCTTCCTGCAAAAATTTTTTAAATTAACTTATTTAACTCATAGAGTTTTTTTCCGGGAATTCCGGAAATTCAATGTCTCAAAACTCATTTAATTTTCCAATTTAAAAAATATTATATCAAATTTTAAATGCCACAAAGTTTGCATTTAAACAAATATATCTTTCATAATTTTCTTTTTAATTCATTCAAACTACCTTTTTCGAATATTAGAAATTCATTAATAATTTATAATTTTTTATTTTAAATTCCTTATTTATCCTTTTAAAATTATTATATTAAAATAATTATATAGAAAGAAATTTCCAGTAATTTCATGAAGTCAAAAACTCATCTAATTAAAATTACCTTAATAAAAGAAAATGACCACAGACCAGGACGTGTTGTAATTTTGTCATCAACTTATGTAGGAAATCTTAGCATAATTTAATTTGTTTAAATAGCAGTTATATTAAAAAAATGCTTGGTCTTGGTTGTTTACTTTTCTGTTTTCAGATTTTTACGCTCCAAGCAACTTAGCGAAGCAAGTTTTGATTTATATTTTAGTGCGATTAAAGGAGCTGAAAGCTACTTTTTAGAAAGCAATGATTTAATTACTAATATCCCGGGTTGCTTACTGCTAGTAGTTATTAAACCTCTTGATTATAACAAAGATGAATACCTACTGTTACACAATCATACGTTTACAAAATGAATTTAAACTTTTATAAATTTTATGTTTTATGAATTTTATGTTTATAAAACTTACGAAAAAAGTTCTTGCAGCAGGACTTTCATAGCGATCAGCGACTCATATTTTTAACTGTGTCAATGTGGCCATCAATAATTTCTAAAACATTGAGATCCATCGATTTGTTGGCATTTAGGAAGGTAGATTGTTGCGATAAGAGCTTTTTAGCTTCCATGAATAAAAATGGCGCACCCGACACTCGTTTATTATTTATTTATTAGCCGTTTTGCTTTCAATTGTAGTAAAGAAGTGAATCTTGAAAACCCGTTTAAGTCTAATTTAATTATTTAGCCAATAAAAAATAAGTTTTTAATAAGTTTTTTATTTCGTTTTAATTATGCTCACTTAAATCGCGTGAATTAAACTGTTATACGAGTCTTCTTACCAATTGCTATATTAGTATATTATAATATAATATACGTTTATTAAACGTCGATCAAACGTTTAGAATAAAGACTTGCATTAGTTTAATAATCGTATATATTAAAAGATTTTAAATCCACAAATGTTTACGTTTAATTAAGGTTGATCAAAGGTTTACAATATTGCCTAATGTAAGTTGATATTCTAAACGTTAGATCGACGTTTAGTAAAAGTATAATCTTTAAGATAGCTAACTTCCGGACATGGAGCAAATTCCAAACATTAACATGTTTATACTTGTATCAAATAAGAATGATTAGCAAAAAAATGATATGATTGGAGTCTGAAGACAAAATGTATCAATTCTAAAATTCTTATGAAAAGCATCTAGACCTATATGTTTCTGAACCCATCTAAATTGACAAGTATCAAATAATTTTACTTGATCTGAAAAAATGAACTTATTGCAAATTCTAACATTCCTTAATTTACCAACAACTAAATCAAGTTTATGGTACGTACAGTAAACAAAAAGACCTTTTGAATTTATAAAATTAATTTTAGATAATAAAACTTTTAATTTTAGAGAGATTTCCCCTTCACCATCATAACAAAGACCATTTTTAGATATAAAGACAAATATCATGAAATAAAGAGATTTTGTTTTGTGCAGGACTAAGACCAGTTGTTCTTGATTTATATTTAATAAATTGCAAAAACTATATATATATATATATATATATATATGTATATATATATATATATATATATATATATATATATATATATATATATATATATATATATATATACATATATATATATATATATATATATATATATATATATATATATATATATATATATATATATATATATATATATACATATATATATATATATATATATATATATATATATATATATATATATATATATATATATATATATATATATATACATATATATATATATATATATATATACATATATATATATATATATATATATATACATATATATATATATATACATATATATATATATATATATATATATATATATATATATATATATATATATATATATATATATATATATATATATATATATATATATATATATATAAGTATATATATATATATATAAGTATATACATATATATATATATATATATATATATATATATATATATATTAATATATATATATATATATTATATATATATATATATATATATATATATATATATATATATATATATATATATATATATATATATATATATATATATATATATATATATATATATATAAATATATATAAATGTAATTGATCTTGCAGACCAAATTCTAAATAGTTTTGAAAATAATAGTTACACACTCGGAATATTTCTTGATCTATCTTGAACACGAATAGATGAATTTAAACGTATAAAATGTTCGGAATCTTTTTAAATTTAAAATATCTTTTGTATATTTAAATATATATTATAAAGTTTAATGGATATGTAAATGCATACGTACTGATTTATATATATATATATTCATATATATATATATATATATATATATATATATATATATATATATATATATATATATATATATATATATATATTTATATATATCCTTTTTGTTTCTTTTTGTTTGTCTGTTTTAATTTTGTTTTAAAAAAACACGAATAGATGAATTTATATATATATATATATATATATATATATATATATATATATATATATATATATATATATATATATATATATATATATATATATATATATATATATATATATATATATATATATATATATATATATATATATACATTTTTTGTTAGTTTACCTTCTCAAGGCCGAGAAGACCACTACAGACGAGGAGGCTACTTAATTGTGGTTATAACCCTTTCTCAACTCTATAACTCCGAAATACATGCTTTGCGAACAGAGCCGCTGCGCGGAAAAATAAGTAGAGCGCAGTACTACCAGGGGGCGTGGTGGGGATTGAACTCATAATCTCTCGTTTATGAAGCAAGCGCTCTACCACTACACCACAACAGCATATACAAACTGTTTATCAAGCAAAGGAAAGTGCGCAGAAATGGTGGGCTAATCTTAGGCAACATGCCAAATACCAATTGGAGTGCTAAATCCTGTCGCTTACATTCTCATTGGTGCAATTCCTTAAGTAAGCTAGAAGAGTTTTTAAAGTCTAATATGAATTGAAAAAATAATGCATCATTATTTATAAGTTTATTTTAGATAGGTAACTAAAATCAACAAGTAATAAATAGACAGATTGAAGTGATTGCTTAATCCCCCTTCCTCAACCCTGTGTTCCTTTCTCCCCCTACTGTTTTTCTTTCCTTTACTGGATAGAGAGATTGTGTTAAAAAACTGACACCACCGATAAAAAATCCTGCATCCGCCCCTGAACAATAACATCTAAGGATGGTGTTCTACCAAAATCATATATTTTTACGTAGTCTACAAGCATTTGTAAGTTACCTAGTTTCAATCGTGATAATGTTGTATACTCTTACTTCCTTCTAATATCATTTTACCATCTTTTGAAGTTTTAAACGTAACAAAATTGTTTGATTAAAATAACTGGTATGAAGCATTGTGTTTTTTCATATAAAGCAGACATTTTTGTTATAAAAAAAAAAACTTGTTTTATTCAAAAAACTGTAATTGTCAGAGTATTTTAAAATACTTCAAAGAGCTGCTAAACCTTACATAAACATTTTTTACTTTTAATATCAACGTTTATAATTTTAATATCTTTTTAATTATACCACCCCTTTTATAATCGTGTATATAATATACATTTATTAAATTTAAACCAGAGACTCTGACTGCAAATAAAAAGATTTCAATTATTTTGTGTATTTGTGAAAAAAAATTTTTAGAACAAAAATTGTGATATGTGATTACAAACTTATTTTATGAAGAATCTTTTATAAATTTGGTATTTATAGTTGACGTTTGACACCATGCAGCAATCGGGTGTAGGATGGGGTAAGCAGAAAATATTTTTTTTAGAAATATACAAATTTTTTAACTTTTGGTAAAATTTAATTTAAATTTAATATCCAAATAATCAAACACTAACATTTCTCTAATATTGTTTTTATAAAAATTTATTCAACGGAAATCAATAATTTAATATTTTCAATTCGTTATGACATTGACCTATACTTTTGGTGTTACCGATCAAATAAATACAAAGCCTTTAGAAGATATATTTTCCAAGAAAATAAATGACAGAATAAAAGGTTGGAAAGTAGAATAAAATGTAAGGAAAGATAGGATAAAACAATAAAAGTTTTAATGGATATTTTTTTATTTTTAATAATACTATTTAAACTTATAATTAAGCAAATCAAAGAAAGCTGCAGCAAAAGTATTGCGAAATCTTTTTACTAGACGTTTGTTATTTATGAATGCTTCTCTGGCAAAAAATACATAGAAGTACTGGCTTAAATTACAGAAACAAAAAAAAAAAAATTATTTAAAAAATGAAAAAAACTTATTTATTTTCTTTTAATAATTTTTCGTAATTTAATGAAATGAATTTAAATATATTTTCTTAAGTTACTATTTTATTAACTAAAAGCTATATATTTTTTCTTGTGATCGGGTATTTAGTTATATGCAATC